GATACTCTAAATGTCAAAAGCAAACCTGGTATAGCAGCAAATAGCGCCTACCAAAGCAAACCAACGAACCCAGACCAAATGGGAACAATGCCCCTCCACATGGCACTCAATTGCCAGACGGGTCTGATTCTGACTGACGAGGTCCATACAAAATCCTCAACTTCAACAACAGTTTGCACATGGGTGAGGACTTCGACAATATCCCTCAAAAATATCTCCTCCCCCTAAAGTTTCTATGGATGGACCCGCGAACAATGCATCCCTATGTCTGAGCAGCCTAGTTACACCATTACATGAATCGCCTCAGTGTTCACGTGGTCCTATGGCAAGGAAGAAAAAAAGTAAAAGCCGAAGGAAATTTTCCGAATGATCGTCCTTCTCGCTTCTCTTGAAGCACAACTTTCGGCGGGGCAAGCTGTTTGAACGTATTTTTTAACACCTTGGTCCTTGGTAGGAAACAGGTTAATAAAGTCTACAAAACAGTGGAAATACTCGACATTCTCAAAATTGCCTCAGAATTGGTCGGGATCGTCATCATCGCCTCAAAAGACCACCTACCAGGTTTCATCACGACCAGACATGTCTAAGGCACTGAACACAAAGAAACAATTTCAGTGAAATCAATCTCTAGCACCCTGAAATGGACCCCGTAACTAGAGTTATACTTTTGGTGTGTCAAACAGCTGTGGGACCACCGCCATTGGATCCGGCATGGTCAAAAACCCCTAAGGGTCAAGTTTCGGCTTAATCGGGCACTCCAGGACAAAGTTATGGGTAAAAGACTAAAAAGGGGTAGGCCGCGCACTATTCCCGTGTGGCCAACCGGCACTAAAACATCATTAAAGGTGGCTGTTTTTACAGTCACGGGCAGTCACTTTCGAGGCCTATATCTCACTTGTTCCAAGTCGGATCGCTCCCAAATTTGGTGAGCGTGTTCGTCTCATCAAGACGAACAATTCAATATATGGTACGCCCTATAACGACGCTCAAGCAGAGAGAAAAACTCAATGAAAGTCGCTGATACGTGAAGGAAGTTGTAGAAAATTCAACAGCAGCACTCCTCGTTCGAGCAGCCAGATCACGACGCTCGCATACCTGATCGGCATGAAATCAATTGCATTATGTGCATGAGGTCCGAGGCTATCTCTGGTCCGAACCTCGCGTACAATGAACGGTTGGATTTCACAAACGAAGGCGTCAAAGCTGTCGTAAATTCTGGCCGCCGGATTTCAAGATTCAGACCAAAAACTCAAAACGACAAAATCAAAATCAAGCTACGTTCATTGCAACATGATCGTGACGGCATGCTCAGTGTGATTCAATGAAGAAATCACAAAGAAACATCAAGGAACGAGCACACAATCGATTCGAAGTTTCAAGATTCATCCAAAATTCAAATCTCATGATCATGGCTCAAAAACATGATTCATGGCTCGAAGTTAATATCAAAACGATCATCATACCGAGCCCTATAAGAAAACAATAATCTTTCGATCAAACAGGCATCAGAACGACCAAGGGTTAGCCATGGAAGATCACGCAAGTTCTTAAGCAGCAGCAGGGACTGTTCTAGAATTCCACACATTGTTAAGCAGGGGCAAAACAGTCCTTTTGCACCCATGTTTAGAATATCTTAAAATTTAATTAAATTGTAATTATCTTCAATTTTAGCTAGTCTTTGGGCATACACCCATGTCTTAGCCCAACTCTATAGATACATGCAAAGCTAAATTATAAGGGACCTTCGGTTCATTTTGGATTGATTCAATAAAATTTCCATTCCTGCTTGAGTTTGTGAGTATGTCTTGGAGAGGGAGAGTGGAGAGAGAAGAAAGGGGCCGATACCCTTCGGGTACGTAACTTTTTCTCTCCTCCCCTCTCTCTCCTCCCCTCTCTCTCCTCCCCTCTCTCTCTCCTATCCTCTTCTTGTATTTGTCTCTTTCTCTCTCCTCCCCTCTTTCTCTCTTCTTTTCTCTCTCTTCTTAACTCTATCTCTCTTTCTTCTTTTCTCTCATCCTCTCTTCTCGTCTTTATCTCTCTCTCATCATCTCTTCTCTCCTTTATCTCTTTCTCATCTTCTCTTCTCGTCTCTGTCTTTCTCTCTCCTCTTCTCATCTCTATCTCTTTCTCTCTCTTCTTCTCGTCTCTATCTCTTTCTCTCTCTTCTTCTCATCTCCATTTGTCCCCTTCTAATGCAACTGGCGAGGCCTAGCACCAGTTGGTTTTCCCTCTCTTCTTCTGTTAGTCGGTGAAACTTAGCTCTGACTGGTTTCCTCTCTCTTCTTCTGTCAGTCGACGAAACTTAACGCCGACTGGTCTCCTCTCTCTTCTTCTGTCAGTCGGCGAAACTTAACTCCGACTGGTTTCCTCTATCTTCTTCTGTCAGTCGGCGAAACCTAGCGCCGACTGGTTTTCTCTCTCTTCTTTGTCAGTCGACGAAACTTAGAGCCGACTGGTTTCCTCTATCTTCTTCTGTCAGTCGACGAAACTTGACGCCGACTAGTTTTCTCTCTCTTCTGTCAGTCGACGAAACCTAACGCCAACTGGTTTTCTCTCTCTTCTTTTGTCAGTCGGCAAAACTTAACGCCAACTGGTTTCCTCTCTCTTCTTCTGTCAGTTGGTGAAACCTAGCGTCGAATGGATATCTCTCTCTTCTTCTATCAGTCGACGAAACTTAGCGCCAACTGATTTTCTCTCATCTTCTGTCTCAGTCAACGAAGCTTAACGCCTATTGCGTCTCCTCTCTCTTCTCCTCTATACAACACAGTAGGCGAAACCTAGCGTCGACTACGTTTTCTCTCTTTTCCTTTTAACACAGTCGGTAACGCTTAGCCCCGACTGCACCTTACTTCCCTCTCTCTCATTTATCCTCTCGTCTTTCATACTCTTCTCTTCCCTTCTTCTCCCTCCTTCCTTCTTTCTCTTCTTCTCTTCTTATTCTTTCCTCATACCTTAGTTCTGCCACTCCTTCGTTCCACTAAGAGGGATAGAGGTTAGCCTCTCATGGTAGTCCAGTCGTCTAGCCGTAATGCTGTTGTGCCAGGATTACTTGGCCCGCCTTATTGCCACGACAGATCGACCATCGTGCTTAGCTATTCGGTATTGGTAACGACGTCTAGTAGTGATTCCGTGAACCGGTCTTAATTGCGGAGCCCGTTTTGCTACCACGTCAGGCCAATTATCCACCAGCCTAATCACCGCTCTGATCCTCTCGCTTAGTTGAATTTTTTCTCTCCCCTGTCTTTCTTCTCTTCTTCTTTTTGAATGCACATGCTTGTGTACGTTCATCAAAGAGGAAAAGGGTGAGGTCTGACCCACCTGTCTTATAACCTTTACCATATATGTGTGTCAAAAACGTCCCAGGTCTCCCCTCGAAACCCGCGACGTGCGTCGTCCGATCCCCAAAGGATTCGGAGGGCGAGATCGAGGCACCTAACCAATGCCCTTGATGAAGAAGGTCATTTCGTATGAGTAAATGCAACATCTTAGAGATAGAAGTCCAATGTACCTCAGTGAAACCCCCACAAAAAATGCCCCACCTCAAAGCATATTTTGTAAAGCCAATCCCAAAGGGGGACATTGAAAACTCTAACCTAAGCCTAAGCGGTGATGAGTATGCACCTGAGGGTATTCAAGTTCGAATGTGTAGATAAAAAAGATTATTTCCCATTGTGACTCTGATTCACACTAGGATTTGCTAACCTTTGAGCCCGAAATGAGGTGGGACAGCAACTCAATGTTTGCAACTCATTCTAATTGAGATGGCAGTTCTCCTCCTCCAGGTCAAAGAAAACATCAAACGAAGGGGGTTAGAAATGGCCACAATAGGAACGACCTTCATTATTCCACATATCTTTCAAGCTTGCTTTCCTACAACCACATTTGGATACCCCTACAAACCTTTGTACAGTTCTACTTCTAGTCATCTCTAGAAGGAAGTCCCTCTCCTTCATTCAATTGCAGTACTTCAAAAAGCGCTACGTAGCACCTAGGCGGTCGGGGGGGTCTAGGCCCCCCAGCGCTTAGGCCGGCGGCCTAGTAGAAAGTTTTTGTTTTTTGGAGTTTCTCTCTCTAAAATAGCCTCTAATGGGTTTAAGTTTCAAATGAACCTAAAACCCATAATTTTGCCCCTTTAATATTAAAAAATGACCCAAAAATACCCTCAAAGAGCCACATTTCTGGCCCTGGGTGGGGCGCAGGCCCTGGGAGGCCGCCTAGGCGGGTTCAGACGGGCGCCCAGCAATATCCGCCTTGGCGGCCGCCCAGGCGCTGTGCGGTCCGCTTTTTGAAACAGTGTTCAGTTGACATAGGCAAAATCCTTTCTAAGGTGCTCAAAGAGCCTATGCTGTCAAGACATATTATCCATGTCATACAACACAAGTGCCCTTGAGATCCCATAGCTCGACAGGAAAGCATCCATCACAGAGAGGATCAGTAGGCAGCAAGGGTAGCAAACCATCATCAACAACAATTTGTGAGACAACAGACATAGTAAAGAATAAAGTTCTACTCCACTGAACCAAAGAGAACATCTAAAGTGAAAAAAGCACTTCCCAAGTGCAATAAATAGTAATCCAGGAACATATAAAAGAAGGGAGAGCCATTTCCGACAAATCAACAATCAAACATGAATATTTCATATGCAATCAAAGAAAGATAAGTGTATTAACAAAATAAAGTACACCATATGCACATTAGTCCAAGCACTGAAATTCATTCACACAACACAAAAATAACTAAGACAGCCTCATATTACAATTGAAAATAGCATCCATGTGATGAATTAACAATTATAATACCACCAGATAAAGTATAGATATAAACAAGCACATAAACTAAATGGAATAAAGAAACATTTCTTACAGAAATGACATGGAAATCTTACTTAAGGACCAAATCAGAGAACCTCATACAAGTGTATTACAAATTAACTATATGCACCAACGATTAAATTTATGCAAAGGAATCAAGCTATAAAAGAACCTGTTGAACTTGATTACCTGGATTTCTTTTATATGAGCAGGCATTCCAGCAATACTGATCAAAGATAGAAATGACACTAAGACGAATACTGCAGAAACTCTGACCTGCAACCATGAGAAGATGAAATAAGAATCATTGGGCAACATGCATGTAGTATCTACAGTAACTACCTAAGAATAATAGGTGTGAATAACCAGGTTATTCGACATATAATGAGTATCTTCATATTACAATTTACCTCTCAGCACTCATAGGAAATACCAGATAAGATGCAAATAATTTCAAATCCAAATACACAGAAACAAAGAATGGCCACTTAAGCCCAATTACATGATCTATAAGGATCCATAATTCCCGTGTCTAGTTTCTCATAACCTAGAGAATCCCACAGTCATTGGGTGGGCGGACTGAAGCAGGAGCAGGAACAGGGGATCATCACTTGTTAGAAGTTCCCAAGGTCGGGAGCATCATTTGTACGATAAATACAATTAAAAAAATTTAAAAACTTCACCTATCTTTCCCAAGCCTTTTGGGGTAAGGTGAATGCTTAAGCCCCATCTATACAAATCTGGTAGTGGGTCAGGTAAACGAAAATGGTTCATGGAACAAAGGAGAAAGTGTGGCCACTTGTGCAGAGCACGTGAAGCATGCGCAAGGCACAAGGGCGCTTGATGGTGCACATTGCACTTCGCGAGAATAGTCCTCTGTTTTATTGAATTTCGCTTTTTCTTGTCACCTTTCTCGGTGACTTTGCCCCAGAGGAGTTTTTTGTACCTTTGTATGTTCTCTTTTCCTTCAATACAATGTTATCAGACTCAAAAATAAATAAATAAAGGAAAATTGCAGATTAATCCAAAAAAAGGAAAATATATAACAGTGATTATGGGAAAAAAAACTCACCAATCATTTCCAAAAACATCCAAATAATGTAAAAATAATAATTCTACGCTATTCCAACATTTTTGACAATTTGTTGAATTTTTTTAATTTTTTTTATGCAACCTGAGTTGTACACACCACTCAGAGATACTCGGAATCGCCCATAGCCCATGTCCAAGTGGACTCGGGTGAGTCACAAAACCATGCAGTTGACCTTCCATAAAACTCTTAGATCATCGAACACAGTGTTAACTAAGTAAACATAATTAAAATAAATTAATATCCATTACATAAATAAATCCCTATGTTTATCCATTCAACTTAGGGTCTTTTAAACATAGAATTTATGATCAAAAAGCAAGAGTACAACCAACAAATCAGCTGGACATATGATGCTAGTGCATAGTTACAACACAACACACCTCCAAGATCTATTTGAGACTAAAATAATAAACTGGTCTGTAATAGGGACTCCTATTGATATGTGACTGAATTTGAAGGCGTACCGCAACTTGAACTTAGAAGTGAAGAATTAAAAATTTCCTTGTAATTATATTACACAAGGCATCTACCCTATATCTTGTGAAGGGAAAAATAGCAAATTCATCTTCATCAATGGCAAAAATCTGGAGGCATACAGTAGATTTTGTAGAATAATGTAAATAAATGGCAAATGCAGAAAGAAACACAAGAAAAACGTTGGTCCTTGGTCATTACTAGATGGGAGCAGCATCCCTGTCAGATGGAAGTGCCCTCCAACTGCAATTCTGCTCTCAGGTCGCTGAACCACACTCCAAGGGCAGGTCGGCCCACCTAATCCACAACCCCCGATATTATGGAAAATCCATTCCTATAAAGGAATTCTATTTGTTGCGACACTAGCCATTACATCAGATTCCCAAATTGGAAGTAGCTATAATTCAAGCTGAAGCTATTCAAGTTGAACATGATCCATCAGAAAATTACAAATTCGAAAAAGCATCATTTCATTTACAACTAGTTATTCCAGAATTCGTAACCTTCAGCAATCGAGGGAAATGATAGGATTGCAAAGATCTGAAAAGGCATCACAAATAGCCAAAAGAAAAATATATAATTAACTTTTTATATATAAAGATTCAGAAAAGCAACGAGTCGCACAGCAAATATCGAAAGAAACGAGCCTACACTCTATCTTTAGAGAGAAATGTTAACTGTAGTATTAATGTGTAGGACAAAAATGCACTTTTTAGGCGATCCACAAGATCAGATGCTCTAATGCAAAATGGAGTACAGAAATAAAAGAGAAAGTTATCCAAGAAGTGAAAGAAAAGTCAGCCTACAAGATGTAGGTCACAACAAACCTAGATAGATTAGAAAAGGAGGAGAAAGAGGAGGGATGAGAAAGTGAGAGTAGAGGTGAAGGAGAAGAGAGGAAGTCGGAGCTTTTAAGTAATGAAGTATGGTGGCTGGTTCTGCATGGTAGCTCCCTTGGCGCGTCTCTCTGCTACTACATTAGCCACCCCTAGAATAAGATTAAAAATAATCCTAAGTCCCCATTAAAAAAGAGTGAATATGGTGGAACTTCATAAGCTAGCCTCACCGGCGGGAGAGGGCAGCAGGGGGAGGGGGGACTGGTTTTTCTGGTAGCCCAAGAGATAGCATCATTGTTCCAAAAGGCGGACCGTTTATTGCCTAGGCAGTTCAGAGGGCTTGGGTGCTTCATCCAGGTCTAGGAGGTAATAATAGACGACCTACCCCTAGGCGGCCACCTAAGCGCTTGGGCACTCGCCTAGGCGGGCGCCCCACCCAAAGGTTCCTTTTAGAAAAATAAGAGGGGAAAAAGGCAGGGTTTAAGTTCATTTCAAATCTAAACCCTATTAGAGCCCATTTTAGAGAGAGAGAAACCTCAAACTAGATTTTTGTGATTTTCATAGGATCGAAGAGTTAATCTAAACATCATCCATTGATATTAGATTTAGTTTTGCAGGTTTTACAGATCTATTAGAGGGTTTTTTAAAAGATTTTGGGATTAGAAAATATCTCAACAGTAGAAGATTGGAGATCGAGCAATCAAAATTAGTGAAAATTTTATTTTTTAGATTGCTTGTATTATTTTGAGATGTCTTCGTCGTGATCTAATAGAAGCGATCTAAAAACTGCATAAGATGCAATTATTGTGAAAATGATACAAATGGGGGCGTAAATCGGTTTAAGAAACATCTTGCCAGTATCAAGGGGATGTTGCCTCATGTGAAAACGTTCCTGATGCTATTAAATAGGAGAAAAAAAAATTTATGAGTATTGTAAAAGAGAAAAAAGGGGTGACAAAGGCATCCATAGCAGACCAGAGGTCTGGGGTTCGTGTCAATGATGATAGGATCAGGAGGGGTGTCAAAAGGTGGAATAGCTTGCTATATCCCAGACAAGGGAGAAGGGAAAGGGAGTTGTACTTACATCTAGGAGTGGGAGACCTAAGTGGCCTCGGGTTAGAGGGCCTATGTATTTTTTTTTGTCCTGGCCGGACCCTAAGGTTGCATGAGAGAAAACAAAGAAGCAAACAACTATTGAGAATAGAATCAAGAAGGAAGAGAGAGAGAGAGCTGACCAGGGGCAGGCCGCCTATTATTAGTACCTAGGCCTGGGCGAGGTCCCATGCCCTCTGGACTATCTAAGCATTAGGCGGTCCGCCTTTTGGAACAATGCCACTAAATATTGTTGTAAATCAAAATTAATACCTTAGACACAACTTGGGATCTTTACTTTCACTACCAAAACAAATAAAAGAAAAAAAATGTTAAATTTAATACCTTGAGTTCCACATAACCAGTTCTTTTAGCACACACGCGCAAGCACACACACAACTTCCTTCCAAAAAATAATATTAACAAAATTAATAACAAACAATGAGGCTAACCGACACAATCTAAGTCACTCCAATAAGAGATATCTATCATTCATTGATCATATATCGCTAACGATAGGTTTGAGTAGGACATTCAATTACATAAAAGTGCAATAGGTCAAAATTTTCCATTGCACTCAACGGGGAGGTGCAAGTGTCTACCAACACCAAAAATAGTGTAGATTAGTGTTTCAAAAAGCGCTAGGTGGCACCTAGGCGGCCGGGGGGGTACAGGCCGCCCAGTGCCTAGGCGGGTGCCCAGAACATGGGCAGCCCAGTATAATTTTTTTTTTTTGGGTTTTTCTCTCTCTAAAATAGGCTCTAATGGGTCTTAGGTTTCAAATGAACCTAAAACCCACAATTTTGTACCTTTCGTATTAAAAAAAACCCAAAAATACCCTGAACAAGGGGCATTTCTGCCCCTGGGCGGGGTACAGGCCTTGGGCAGCCGCCCGAGCGGCCGCCTAGGCTAGTTCAAGTGGCCACCTAGGCGGGTTCTTGGGCGCCTAGGGATATCCACTTTTTTTGGGCGTCTAGGCCTAGGCGATGCGCCCAGGCCCCCAGAACCACCTAGGCGGCCGCTCAGGCGCTGGGCGATCCGCTTTTTGAAACACTGGTGAAGAGTTCGTTTAAAATATCACTCCATTCCCCTTAAAACAATAGAGATATGAAAAAGAAGATTTGGGCCAACTCTATTGTATTATTTACAATAGAACACAGTGCCCATCACATAAGGAACTGCAAGACGCTGGCATAAAAAATCCTAAACAACGGAATCATCAACCATCAAAATGAAATAATAGGGCAAAGTAGGGGAAATTTTCAGCAAAGAAAAAAAGTAGGCATATCATTGGTCATTTCGATAAAACGAGTTCAGATGATAAAAAATTCCTTAAATCAATCTGGAAGTGGACATTGCGTTCAATGATAAAAACAAATCCAGATGATAAAAAATTCCTTAAATCAATGCAGAAGTGGATATTGAGTTCAGGTTCTTTGGTTAAGGTAAGAGTGAACGTCTTACACATATATATTTAATACTGAAAAATAAATTTAGAAGACCTTGAGTATGTTTTCCCTCATCAAATATAGAAAAAAGTCGGAACTTGATCAAAACTCAAACCTTACTAGATAATTTTTATCCAGAATATCTCGAGCTACAGACCTGGAATTAATCTGAGTCTATAGACCATGCTCTTTACCCTGACCTAAATTAAAGAAACCATGACTCGGCAGGCTTCTCATGTGTAAGTGTTACAAATCTTGTAAATTCAGTGCCAAAAAGACTCTGTTCACAACTTTTTTTTCTAATAAAGACATTGTTTGCAACTTCACATGTATTTGAAAGATATTTTGTAAAGCATCAATTAAGAAATGATGGCTCCCCCGGTGGTCAGTTTTGCAAATAGAAGTGAAATCCTGATTGCAAACAAAAGATTCTCATCCCAAAATTCAAACTTGGGAAGAGCCTTAAGAATAAACATCTAGCGACTAGAGTACAGCTGATGCATTGCATGTAAAAATAAACATACAAGGATTATGACACACCTTATCAAACATAGACAACATTACATCAACTACAGCATCATGATGATTGAATATGAGCAAAGAGAAAAGGGTCCCTAACTTAAATGGAGGCCAAGGTGATTGCAGACAGGGTTTAGTTATTAAATTGGATTGGTAGAAAGCCCATGACCAAGTCGACTGCACAATTTTGGTCGACGTTCAGGCAAGGATGGGATTCAATCAAAGGCGTAGAATTGGATTAGAGGATGCATTTTTGACCCGTCACTCTCCATCATCATAAACAGGACTCCTGAAGGGTATTTTTTGGCCTCCAAAGGCCTAAGACAAAGCGACCCCTTTTACCCTTCTTGTTCACGACTAGGGTATGTAACATGGGTTCAGGATGTCCTGTAGTTGCACAAACATTTCCCACCTTCTGTAAGCTGACGACACTATAATTTTCTGCAACGCCTGCCCATCACAGCTGGATGGTCTCTGGTTATTCCACAGATTCTTCAAGGTCTCCACAGGGATGAGGGTTAACTTGTCCAAAACTAGTATGATAGGCACTAGAATGACGTACGAAGAGGTGCCATCCTTTGGTCGCCATCTGAGGTGCACCACTGAATCCCTGCCATCAAAATGTCTAGGCCTACCCCTTTGTTCAAGTTAATCCAGGAAGCACTTGTTGGACGCTGTTATTGAACAACTTGAGGCCCTCATGAGAAACTTCGTCTGGTCAGGCAGTGGAAAGGACACAAATTCAACCCCATTGCTTGGGATAAAGTGCATAAACCCAAGAAAGAACGGGGCCTAGAGATCAAGAGACTTTGAGACATTAATTTAGCCCTCTTAGGAAACTGGGGGAGGAAATTTGCAGTGAAAGATGCGCATCTGATGAAGGAAGTCATTTCTGTAAAATATGGCACTGAAGAAGGGGGCTGTGGCTCCCCAAAATCCCTCGCCAACATGCCTCTGGGGACTGGACCAGTGTAGTAGTCGAGGGAATAATCAAGTTCTGGAAAGACATATGGATCGGAAATCAAACTTTAGCTGGACATTTACCCTTCCTGTTCTCCATAGCTGCTAACATTGATGCCTGTGGTTGTATTGTTAGGGCCCCTGTTTTTAGGAGGGCACTCTCGGAAGTCAAAGCCACACATCTTACTGTCCTTTTAGATCTACTCCATGGTTTCTTCCTTACTCTAGAAGGAGACGACTACCAACAACTAACAGGATCATTGCAGTTGCTTCCCTCTACACAGCCCTGTAGCATAGACCATCTTCAAACCTTACCTTCATAGGGATATGGTCCGCATCCATTTCCCCCTAGGTCAGGACTTTGCCTGGAATTTGGCCCACGGGGGGGTTTTAACTGTTGACCAGCTTCAAAAGAGGGGCTACCATTAGCAAAACCACTAAATAAAATGCTTGCAAGACGAAGAGACTGCTGACCATCTTTTCCTCCACTGCCAGGCCACCTCAACTTTTTGGTCCGAACTCCTCCGCCTCTTGGTCTACTCTGGGTAATTCCACAGACCACCCAGCAGCTGTTCACGGCTTTCCTTTCTCTTCCCCTACCAAAAAACAGGCCGTAATACATGACGAGCCTCTGTTCTTTCCCTTGTTATTGGTCTTCTTTTTCTCCCTTCGTTTTCTCGCCCATCTCCTTCCTCTTTCTTCACCTCACCATTTCTTTCTCCTATCTTGACCCTTAACAGACCCATATATTTTTGGCACAGTCCACCACTTTTGGGCTAGTTCCTTTGATGCATTGTTTTCCTTCTCAAAACCCTTCCTATTTTTACAGTTTTTTCTTTTTACACCCCTTTTTGTATAGAGCACCCAGCCTTGTCATTGCAATAGATTTCTGTTTCTTACTGTTTTTCTTTTTACACCCTTTTTTTATGGAAAACTAGCCTTGATGGTGGCCGTACAATTTCCTACTTATCAAACATAGCCAACCTCTTCTCGTAAAAAGAAAAATAAAAACTTTGGGATTCCATCACTAAGAACCTTGATGAAGTATTAAAATAATTTCCTAGATGGAACAGGATGGTGGAGTACCTTATATACATGTATTGACATAAAATGACTGAAATAACCCTTGTAGGCAGGACATTAACACAAATTAGACAATCACTAAAATGCCACAATTATGTACATAATCAATGAGTAGTCAATATTTAGCTATATATTTAATAAACACAACTTCTATCAATAGATCCACATGTTATGTCTTCTCTAGGAAATTTCAATTTGTATCAATTGGATAGAGTTGCTTTGGAAAAAATGTATCAGATAGTTGTACTAGAAATATAGCTTCATATGGCATGATAGGAAAGACGGAAAACTCACCATTACAGATGACAGAGAATGCCCCAAATTGTAAAATATTGTACCAACAGAAAGCATAAGAAGTATGCATAGCAGAAGTCGAATCCAGAAGTATCCCCATTCCCTGGACATTACTAACAAGGACCTCCAAGTTAAAACTGCGACACGTGTGATACCGCTAGCCTTGCCCTTGCTTTTGAGGAGTGGACCTTCCTGCACCATAATCCCAAAAAGAACGAGCCAATTAAAAACAACATACATACAGAAGAAATTCCACCTTAAAAGGTTTTGGAAGTTGTAAAAACCATGTAGTTTTATAGAGATTCCTTAGTGAGTGTAATAACAGACATAACTCTAGTGAGTACCTATCACAAGTCCGCTAGCATTCATGTCTAGATAAAGGAATATGAAATATCAAAACAGGGCCTAGAAAATCAGCATAAGTCAGACAGGTGCTCCAGAATTTAAGTATATCAAAACAGTGCCAGGATCAATATTCTTTTTCTCTTAGTGACTAATTTTTCCCAGAGTCTGGTATCTAAAAGACGTGTAATTTAGTATAAATGCATTCGACCGAAAGGACAACGGTCACTTCAGAAGTATATTAACTGGCATGTTTTAAATTCTTCTCTAGAGCACCCATCAGAAAATAATTCCTTTCTAGAGCAATTGCACACTTTATGCAGGATTTCTATGCATCACATTGGAATTATCACAAGGAGTATTAAAAAGTATTTGACAGATCGGCGAGAACCAGAGGAGCAAGAAATCCCATTGAAAATTAAAACAAAGAGAAAGAAGGAGAAGGAAAAAATTCACCTTTTCAGTCAGTTTCACTATCATAGATTCAACTGCGACAGCATCACTAGATGTTTTATACGTAGATTCAAGGGTACGGATCGCAACAGCAGTGTCCATATTAACAGATGAAAAGTCCCCATGGTCATCCTGTTGAAAATTGTTATGTATATAAATCACATAGAAGCCGCTAGAAGTTTAAAATGGAAAGAATTAATAAGAACATTCAACTGAAAGAGAAGCTACCTGCCAATTTTTGCACATGGCTATGATCCTGTCAAAATCTGTGTTTATAGCACGTAAGAAGTGATCTGAAGGACTTTGCATGATAGGACAAGGAAATCCAGCATTTGAGAAATGCTGCATCAACAATCCAACCAGTTTTTCCAAAATAAATCAATATATTGGAAACTTAAATTTCGTTTTTTCTTTTTTTTTTCAAAAGATCATACATATTTCATTCTGAGAAGAGACCTTCTTCACAAGAGAAATACTTTGAATTCTATATTTGTTTCCTCTTTTTTCATAGTTATAAAGTTTCAATTGTTCTATTGTAGGCATGTATAGTATACCACCATCTTCTCTCATCCAGTTAAAAGCACTTGAAAGGCTTTGTCAAAATTGGAAAACCCGTTACACTAACATATAGATAGTCATTCATGAGCCCGAGAGATAAAGAACTAGCCTAAATTTAAATCAATGCACAAGCTAACAAAATTAAATTTGAGGAGAAACAAACCTGCAGGCATGCCAGGGTTTCTCCAAAGAACAAAGTATTTCCATTTGAGAGCAAGCAAATTCTGTCGAACAGTCCAAATACTTCTGTACTGCTTTGGTACATGGTGAAAATAATTGTACACCCCGTGCTGGCAAGTTTCTTTAGGGTCACCATCATAAGGAGTGCAGACACACTGAAGTGAAGATAGACCCAAAAAAAAAAGTTCAAACAAAATGAAGCACTTGATGAATTATCTATAGATACAGGGTAATGTATAACGTTTTAGGGGTAATTTAGATTGTAAACTCTAAATAGCATGGAAATCTTGACTTGGATTGAGAATTCTGAGAGAACCTGTCAAGTTGATAGAGAGGTTCATCGATAAACAATAGGTGTGGCCTCATAACAAGCTCTCGAGCAATGCTGACACGCCTCCTCTCACCTCTTGGAAGGCTTTTCATACGGCAATGACCACCTATTAATTTATCAGAGTAATCCCCCAAAGACATTGTCAAAATGGAATCCTCAACTACACCCTTCTTTCGAGAGAAGAAGCCTGGAAGCTGTAGAAGTGCTGAGTAATAAAGCATTTCTCGAACCGTAAGGGATCCAATCAAAGTGTCTTCTTTCTCAACATATCCCTGCAAAGTTAGATCTATACATCACTAAGAGCCTAAGCATTTCTCGAACAGGTTCATTGATCAAAAAGTAAAAAAAATAAAACTGCAAAAACAGGGGAAAAAGGAGAAAAGTAGGGAAATTCTGAAAAAAAAAAAAATTCAGAATAGTACAAAAACCGATAAGAAATTATACTCTTATAGATACACAAGGTCAGAATCCAAAATTACAAACTATGTCCAAGTAACACACCACATGTCATAGTGCACTCCAATAAAAATACTAATTCATCACGCAATATAATGAAATTGAGAGCAAAAAGTCATAAAGTTATGAAGTTATGTACTATAATGCAACAAAACAATTCACCCTCCACAACTCCACAAGTCAACATCCAAGCATCCACAAGTTAGTTTGTTACTTTGTTACATAACTGATATACATAAAATATACATACATGATAAAAACAAATGAATCCACTTTCAATGCTTTTTGAAATCTCATACATGACATGAGCAGGAACTTGGTGTACTTGGCAACGTTCGCAGTCTTCTGAGCCAAATGATCCTTATACCTGTGTATGCCTCCTTCCTTTATTGTTTTCCTATAATAAACGGACACATTTTTCATAGTTATCTCCACTCGCAGTTGGTACCCCATTGACATGCCCCCATGCTCGGACTTAGATTTATTAGACCACTTGAAGAAACTTTTGATTCTTAACCAAGTAACCAAAAAATAGAAACACTCCCAATCTCCTACACCAAGACCACCCAAAGCCCCAATGCCATCTCCAAACTACATTACAAAATTACCAAACCACGCAAATTAATCACCTGAGTCCATACTTCACAATGACACATCAAACCAATCACAATCCTACATCCAAAAAGATACATGAACAAGAACACATCGGCCATTGCAAAATTATAGACATACCCAATAAGAATAAAACAGTAAAACACAAAGAAACCCTTACTTGTATTGGAAAATATTAAATGAGTATTGAGTTAAACAATTGAACAAGAAAATCAATTATTTGTATAATCACATCAATATTAATATCAATACACAAGATCCTTACTATGAAAATATTTCCACAACGCAACATATTTCAAAGATTCATGTACGCACTAACCACCCAAAACAATATAAAAAATTTATATAAAAACTTTTTATACAAAAACAAAAAAAATAAAAATATACATAATTCATAATATGGAATATTCATCTATCAGCACTCTACATAGTTTCATTGAAGTAAATGAAAACAAAACATCCTAATATTTATATACAAAAGAAAATGCACATAATCAACCAGATACCTAAAAATTAGACTATTAAGGATTTAAAAAAAATTATATTGAACAAAAGAAACAAACCATTGCATAGATTTGAAAATGAAAATCAGTTTTTTGCATATTATTTGCAGGGCTAACCTCAGACTTGGAGGCTTCCATCTCCTACATCTGTTCCTTTGATTGGAATCTGGAAGGAGGGAAGGAGGTCGAAGCTTTTACAATTCCTCTACATCCCCAGAGTGATATTCTGATAAGGGTTCATTCTCATAATGGACGGTTCTCCATTAAGGAGGCATGGAGTTTTATTTGGCGAAAGGGTTCCATTCAATCAATATTCGAAGGATTATGGTCTTCCAAGTGTCACCCCAAGGCCAAATGGTTTTCTTGGCTGGCTCTTCACCATCAACTTCTAACCTTCTCTCTTTTATAACAGAGAGGGATCTCCATGACATCCTCTGGGGAGCTGCTATGCCCCTTTTCCTAGACTAATGATGATAGTGTTTGCCACCATTGGTTGCATGCACATGCAGCAAAAGATTCATCTTAGACACATCCATTGCAACTATGCTTAAGACTTGGGTCACACTCAGGTTTAAATCAAATGGTCTCCTTAATGTTTGGTTATCCTTATCTTTACCACAGTCTGGCTACTATGGGAAGAATGTAATCATCGAGTTTTTCAAGGAAGGTTTCCAAACATGAGCAGCTACTCAGAAGGATTATAACTCATGTCAGAGAAATAGTTGATGCAAAGCTTGGCCTTTCCACTTATCAGAGAAAGCAATCATAGACAACCTGCAGATCACATGGCGCCAGCAAAGAATAAAGATCCCCAACCGGTTGCATGGTCGTTCCCTTCTCTCTGTTACTTTAAATTAAATGTAGACGGGGCTTCCTTTCAAAACCCCTGACGTGCAGGTGGAGGCGGTGTCATATGAGGAGATGATGGGTCTTTTATTGCTACATTTGGAAACCACTTCAGTATGGTGCTTCAAAAAATTATGCAGAGTTCCATGCTTTGCAAAGCAGGAGTAGACCAGGCTATCCAATTGAATTGTTTTCCCCTACAAATTGACTGTGATTCCTCCTTGCTTGTTAATTCATTACATGATCAATGCAAAGCTCTATGGGTGCTCCATACGGTTGTAGCCAATTGCAGACACAAATTCTTTGATCGTGCATGGACCATTTCTCACATATACCGGAAGGCCAACATGATAGCCGATACACTTGCTAAGAAAGCCACCGCCTTCTCAAAAGCCACCATTTGGCACTCTAGACCACTAGATTTTATAGCTCTTCCTTTGCTTCATGATATCAATGAAAAAAATGGTAAGGGGCCTTCTCCTCTACTGATTTACCCAAAAAACACCCCTAAAAATGAAAAAATCAATTTTACTTTTTTGTAAATATAAAACAAATAAACCAAAAAATAGGATAAATTGATTTACTTGGGGCTTGAACTAACGCAGAGACAGTGGTAGGAATCCCTTGAAGAATTGCCACATTTTTTCCATGACTTGGAGTTTTTTGGATAGAGAGAGACAAAGCAAAACTCACCAAACTTGCTCTCTCCAAAATCTTGTTTTTAAACCCTTAAACCCTTCCAAAAGATCAAAGGGAGCAAAACACCCTAAACAATTTCAGAAGGATGAAAAAAGCACCCAAAACTTATTAAAATTACCATTAACGATGAAAAAGAACAAGGTCGATTATCGTCATTCTTGACCCATATAGAGACCAGCTTCTTAAATTTAGACCTGTCGAATCCGCAAATCAAGGCATTGAACCAGATATTTTCCAATTCAATGGCTAGGGCGGTTCTAAAGAAATTTTAGAGAGAAAAATTCTTTAAAAAAATAATTCTGCCCAACACAATTCTTGTGGTGGATTTTTCATTGTATATATGATAATAATACAATGGCGTAATATACACTTTCCTATCTTGTTACATGCCAATATACACTTTCCTACCTTGTGATATTCTCCTCTCAAAAGAAAAGAGTAATACATTCTCCCATCTTATTGAATTTTATTTTTATTACTCCCCCTCGAACTCTGCTAAGGAGCCATTTGAAGCCCAAGTTTGAAGCAAAGATCTCGAAAAATATCTCATGGCGAAGACTTGGTGAAGATATCAGCTACTTGATTGCGAGAGGAAACAAATCGAGTGATAAGTAATCCAAGAGCAACCTTTTCACGAATAAATTGATAGTTTAACTCAATGTACTTTGTCCGCGAATAAAAAATAGGATTGACTCTCATGTAGAGAGCACGAATATTGTCACAAAAAAAGTGTTGGTGGTTGAAGAAGAGGCACCCCAATATCCCGAAAAATAAAAGAAAGCCATGTCAATTCTGCGACAGTGGATGCCATAGATCAGTATTTCGCTTCAACACTTGAACAAGCCACAGTTAATTGCTTTTTAGCACTACAAGATATGCAATTGGAACCAAGATAGGTGCAGAAATCAGTAGTCGAACAGCGAGTGTTTGGACACCCAGCCTAGTCTGCATCAGAGAAAGCATATAACTCAAAGGAACTATCAGATAAGACTCTTATACTTCAGGATTGTGTACCACTGAGATAACAAAGACTTCGCTTCACTACCTGAAAATATGCAATTGAAGGGACATGCATAAATCGACGCATTGTATTAACACTATGGGAAAGGTCAGGCCGTATTATAGTAATGTATTGGAGTGCACCAATAATGCTCCAACAAAGGGATGGACCAAGAAATGGAGCAGAAGTCTCATGAATGTTATTCTTCATTGCCATTGATGTTGAAATAGGTTTGGCACCGATCATCTAAGCACGATCAAAGCAGATCCCAAGCATATATGCTTTATGATAGAAAAATTCCAACCGAAAAATAAGATACCTCTATGCCAAGAAAGTAGTGAAGAGGGGTCAAAGATATTTCATTGCAAATTCCCTTCCAAGTTGGGACATGAACCATTCTAAAACATTTGAATTATCACCAGTAATAATAATATCATCAACATAAAGGAGAAGGATAATAGTGTCTTGAGTAGTGTGAGAAACAAATAGAGATGAATCAGCTATGCTGCAATAAAACCCCAATGATAATAAATATGCACTAAACCGATCAAACCAGGCCCGTGGTGCATGCTTGAGACCATATAACGCTTTTTTTTAATTTGCAGACATGATTGAGATATTTTGAGCCATGAGATTGTTCCATAAATACAGCCATACAGGAAAAGCAATTTTCACATCAATCTGTTTGATAGGCTAGTGGCACACAATAGCTATGATGACACGATCCGAATACTAGCAAGCTTAATAACATGACCAAATGCTTCAAGAAATCAATTCCAGCAACCTGATTGTCATTTTTCATCTAGTTTGGCCTTAAGTCTCTCTAGACTACCATCAGACTTTAATTTAATATTACAGACCCAACGACAACCAATAATATTCATACCTGGATGACAAGGAGCTACCTCCCAAGTTGAATTAACATGTAGGGCTTCAATTTCCTCTTCAATCGCACAATGACCCAACGCGGACTTAATGGTTTTATGTTTAAAAGGGATAGATTCAAAAGTAAGAGCACTAGAGATTCCCGCCATGGATAGGAGAATCTGAGGTCTTCGAGTACCATCTTGAGATCTTGTGACCATGTGATGACGAGAATGCTCAGAGGCTAGTAAAAAATTAGATTGGTTGGTCTCTTGAGTGAACATTTTCATCA